TGACTACTGTATATTGAAATGGAGATTTGTGAATGAACACGGTCACTGTAACAAATAGTGAGATCATTCGATTTCGGTCACTCCTCTCTTTCCCCAATTTTTGCTTTGGTTGACAACTCATGAACTTTAATTAGTAGAAGAACAAGGCACACCTTACCGAAATGCCTTAAAACATTCTTGGAGATTTTAATACAGTCATGACAAGCCGGAATTCGAAACCTCCGCTTTCTAGGGACATAAACATTATTCAAGTGCTTCGAAGTATTACAGAGATTGACAGTACAGGAATTCTGAAAAATTGTTTTACAAATGAACGAGAATCTATAGGCTATGTGAACGTACAGGTTCGATAACAAAATAAAACCTTATTCGGATAAGGAAGCGCCTACGAGTACAATCATGTGTTTTCTTATCCCACTAAAAGGATTCTAATTAGTCGCGTCAGACTTCTACCTTAACCATTTCTAGCTCAAAATATTCAAATACTTGCAACATGTTGCTGTGATTGCTCTCTCTCTGCACAAGTTATCTCCTGTAGCTGTCAACTGGAGGTCTGCTGCAAAAATTTATGATGTTTAAATGCTCTATTTGACGACGTCGAATTGGACGCAGGTGGCTAACTGGAATCGACATTGATGTACTACGCTTAACGCTTTCAAATTCATAACAACAAATTTATGGGCGTTTAGGGAGGCACACGTTTGCCTAACAAATTAACTTTTCAAGTTAAAAATGGGAATATTTAACGAACAAAGTTATAGAGTAAACAATGATGATTTCCTATTTCGGGCTCTTCTAAACGTTATCAGTGTCACGTCGAAGCACAATTTAGGCTACGATTACTATCCTCGAGGATAGTGACGCATGCGATATTGTCGATGCAAGCTATAGCCCCCACCTTCTTCAACTTAAACGTCAGTCTTTGCAAAGTATTGTACAAGTCAACCTTAGATTGAGGGCTCGGATATCACAACGCACAAAGGCGTATCCATGAAGATAAGAGTCGTGCTACGAGAACTGTTCCCGGATTAAATTCCCTTAGAACGAGTATAACAATTCGCCTTATTTCGAAAGTCAAACAACGTAGATTTTTTGTTACTCGTAAACAATGTTTCTAGCTTATGCCAACATCGAACTGTTGTTGACAGCGTTGGGAACTTATGAAGAATCAGAAAAGGGAACATTCTGAAATCTTTCTACATAGCATTATGCGAAAACGAAAAATTTTTCCCACTACATTGGCTGATTCCGAGATTCCCAATTACGTCTTTAGAAGTTTGGTGCATGCCTATGGGGAATCCGTTATCATGCAGCTTTTTACACATACATTTACTATACGTATATGCTACTCCTTTTGTTTTAGTAGCGTTTATTTTGTGAATAATTGCAGAGGTCGGTCGCAGGCTCCGGCCCCCACCTCTAATTTGACACACGTATGTGGTTAACTCTTGTCGCTAAGGCTTAATCGGCCAAAAACTGCTTAAAGTAAAACACGCTCCTTGAGTTTACTTAAGGGCTACGGCTGGTCTCATCACAAGGAGGTACACATTCATCGATTGAATCTCATGCATACATTGCATTTGTTTGCATGGTATGTGCATAATTTTTTTAATTGAACGTCCTCATCGAAGCCGTTTTTGGTGGTGACCTTAGGCTTTTTTTTACCTTGCTCTGCCTGGAAGTCCATTTTTACCGTGCCACAAATAAATAGTTGGCCATGAAGCCCGATTTTGTTTGGCCCACAAGCAAATGTGTGCTGGTTTTCACTTCCTAATCAACCTATTTAGTTTTATTATTGCATGGTGTCCTTGTGTTCTATAGACTTTTCAGTGATTTCTAATTTCGCATCTGAGAGCTCTTTGCAAGCTGCGTAGAGGGTTCTTCTCAACTTTTAGGTGGGTGTTATTCATAAATGTTAAAGTGCCTAAGGCGTCTACTTGATCGATAGTCCTTGTAAGTTCCATTCATAACCTGTTTGACGGGTTCCTGGTAGTTAAATCTCCGTACTCGTTAGTGATCTTAGGCTGCACTGCAATATATTTCGTTATTTTTCTTTTAGCATTATTGAGTACGCTACGTTGGCTGCTTGTATCGTCACGCCTTTTGTTGGAGGGGTTCTCTGTTCCTCAATCGTCAAACGCAACATGGAATGGGCTCAAGGCCTTAAGCGATCGTCCATGACCCCGCCTGCCTGGGTCTTTCGTCCGATGTGGACTATTCTCTATGTCTTACTTGGAGTCGCCTCGCACATGGTAATCAAGGAGGCTGATCAACAGGATCTTCGGCTTCTGCTGGCTGTCTATGGTGTCAATCTGCTTTTGAATTGGCTCTGGACACCAGTCTTCTTCAAGCTGCACCGCCTCAAGACGGCAAGTTCATCCATTTCCTTTTCGTTCGTCATTCCTTAAGTGTCTGAGGATACATTATTAAAAATATAATATACACTAAATGAAGAAGAGGGGAAATTCTTTGAGGACCTGTAACCTCTAGCGAATAAATCTTTGAAGCTGGTTTCCCAGCTCCTCTTTAGACTGTAGGATGTCTACACAAACAATTAACTTATTAACATTATTAACAATTAACAAATAACTGAATTAACCATGTCTAACAAAACATTGTTGGTTGGTTGCCGTGTGCGCCAATGGACATAAAGTGCCTTTCACCATCCTGCTGTGGTTGGCTGTGAGCGTTTACCTTTGTCCTTGAGACGTTTGTATGTGATATCTAAATTGATATGTCGATTGACGCATGCCTCATTTGAGTGCATTTATTCCATAAATTTACTGTCTTTTCGGATTGGGCAAATGCCAACAATCCATGCGTTCTTCCACAGAAATTTATAACCAGTTTCCTGCGTTCGCATGGTCACCCGCGATAAATAGTTTCGTCTTCTGACCCCTAACTGATGTTCATGTATGCGGATTGAGACGCATTTCCCAATTTGGCCACAATAAGCTGCAGCAATCGTAGTGTTGCTCCCCATAGTCAAGGGGTCGCGGGTTCGAATCCCGGGATAGCCCCATCTGGGGTAGGGTATGACTGGTTGACAACGGCTACTGAGGCAGAATTGGCCATTGTAGTCTCCTTTTTTATCGGTCCCACTTTAATATCATATTCTACAAGTCACTATTCGACTACCTGAGTGTCAAGTGAGATCCAAGGCACAACGGGCTATACAGGTCCCTAAGCAGGTCGGTGAACCCTACACTATCATATATATATATATACAATGGTAGACAAGCGCTCACCAATCGCTTGCAGAATTCAGTCGCCTCCTTGTGCCTTACGGTTCGCTCTCAAGCCGCTCAACGGCTAGTATATGCTGTAGGCACAAATACACTACATACAAAGACAAACGAGGCCGGAATGACCATTTCTAAATAATTAGCAGTCTTCAGCCAGCCATCTTCAAACCCGGGGCAGGCGCCGCACACACTCGAACCCACGGCCAAGGTCCAGGAAGCAGCTCAGAAGAAGATACATGCGCTGAAATAGAAAGTTTGCTGGCCTGATGTTTCGGCCTCTGGCTCGAAGGCATCATCAGAGACGAAACCAGAGAAAGGCAAAGCAGAGATAATCGAAGACAATTCGCGATTTTCTCCGATGATGGTTTCGAGTTAGAAGCCGAAACATTAGGCAAATAAACTTTTTGTTCCAACGTTCAATTCCACTTTTTCTTCTTGTTCTTCTTCTTTTTCTTCTTCTTCTTCTTCTTCTGATGATGATGATGATATAGGTAGTGGTGAGGCTGCAGTTTTTGAGCGTTCCTCATGTTTGCTACCGCTTAGAATGTCTGTTTTTTTCTCCTCATTCAGTCCGCGGCTATAATTTTCGTCACGATGCTCAGTGCCGTGGGTTGCTGCGCCCTGTTTCACAAGGTCAACCCTACCGCCGGTCTGCTGCTGTTGCCCTACGTCATATGGTTGATTCTCGCCTGCGTATTTAGCGTTCGCACAGCTGCACTCAATCCCTGCCTCCTTCCAAAGGAAGCACCTTAGGCCAGGTCTCATCCCAAATCGCGATCTCAGGATCTCTCCTTCTGAGTGAAAATTCTCACCGTTTCCATCTGTTTATCTGTTTTTCTTTGCAAACTTCTAACCCCTCCTGTCCGTGTCTGATGTTCCTGCCTATTCCCATGAAATAAATGTTTCACATGTTTACCACACCTACTGGACGTTCGGCTCGTTAGCACCTTTGCGTCATTTTTTCCTGCATTGCTGTGTTTCCTATTAACTAGTTTTCCGTTCCAAAAGGCGATAAACAGCCAGTAAATGGACGCTCACCGATCTGTTACAAGGCTAGCTTGGCCCTTCGGCGCGCTCTCGAGCCCCAACAGCAGCGGCAGAAATGCATTGCCATAAAGGACAAGGGAAACTGAAATGCCTATTGCTGACTTATTATCCATCATCAGACAGCCATAATCAGTCTCAGCTCTTGTAGCGCCCGAAGCTGGAATCCGTAAACTGTTGGCGAGAAGGCTAACATTCTTACAACTGCACCACGGACTGGTCGGCTCGTCGGGCGCTCCCTACTCGGCCGTTTCACTGTCAGTTGGTGTTCATGGATGCGTGTTGAGGCTGATTTTCCCGTTTGGCCACAATATACGATATCATAGGCATCGCATGGGATCCTGTAGACGCATTCCTTCTTATCGAGGCAGTGCGACTCGGCATTAGGGTATTCAAGCTGGGCGCGTAAAGAAGTCGTCGGTTTTCGCGCCAGTTTTCTAGTTCCGCAAGTGCTTCTAAATAAGATCAAATACGTTTATAATATAAGGAAGGATTTGTCGTGTGTGTTTTGGCCGCCTAATTGGAAATATTCAGTTCCTATTCTTTGGGCTCTTTATGTTTAATGCATCAGTTGGCAAAATCGTTAGGATAGCCGTTTTAGGGAAATAATTAAAACAGGTACTTGCGCTTGACTCGTTAACTTTATTCGTCAGAGCAATGTGTTTTTGCCTGACACAGCCGACCGTTGACGGTACTCCTGTTGTGTGAGATTGGAATTAGGAATACCCTGTACATATGTTTCATTGTGGTAAACGAGAGTGTGTACGGCGCCGTCAGCCTTTCCTTGTATGACAACAAAAAATGGGAATTTATTGTCAAATCCTTTCGCGAGTGTGAATTTAATTTCCGGGGTAGCTGAGTCGTGCCACACAGTCCCCTTTTAAACTGGTAATCATGTACTTGAATGTGCTTTCTTGGTGCCCTCGTTTAAATATCTTCCTACTTGCCATGCTGATCAGTTTACCATACTAACTAAAACTTTCCTCTAAGCTGACGTCGGGCTTGTCTAATTTGGGGATAATAGAGATTAAAAATATCCAGATGCTGCTAGTACGCCAGTTATTTGAGTTCAGGGACAAGTAGGAAATATGTTGAGTTCACCCCAGTTATTGTCCATGGAAGAATCCACGCGGAGGAATATCATTCGTACAAGTGCACAACAAGGTAAGAGCAGGTTAGGCTGCGCATGAACGTTAAATATACTTGGATAACTACTATATACGTTGAAAAGAAAGAAGATCTTCGGAAAATCGAGTTGTACTCGTGAATTACGTGTTCGTCGTCAGACTAAATTAAAAGTGAGGGCTGGGAATGTCGCACTATATACGTGTAAGTAGACGTAGTTATGCCATTTATTTTATTTAAACCACATTTCTCCATATTTTGACTCGCCGTATTGCATCCCATTACCGGCGGTTGGTTCACATCGTCTTACCGCTCTACCGGATTACCTTGCCTAGGCCCATCATATATTTAGTAATTGGCAAAGACTTTTGCCGTATTTCTGTAACATACAACTGCAGCTTCGTTTCGCATTCGATTCGCGTTGGATTCGCTTTCGATTTTTCTAACCATCAGATTCGATTTGGGTGCGATTCGCGTTCGAATTCTTCGAACCCTCGGAGTCCACTAGGCATCGAATCGAGCCCGAATTGTCGAAAGTTGCTTTTTGCTTAGTTTTCAATAATCGCTCGCCTGTTCGTAGTATATAACAGTTTATTATAACAACTGCATTTACAATCCCCTGTTTTTTACTTGGTTATTTTTTTATTTACTGTTCTGCGTCCCACGGCGGATGCCCCACCCATAAATTCCCTTTTATCGCTGGTCCCATAAGACAGAATCCTGGCTTTAGGGGTATCATACGTGCGTTACATCACGTACTTTTGTCCATAAAAACAATGCCCTTGATGTCACTGTGTGGTTTTATCGGTAAACAGCAGTAGGTAAACTTGTCTGGTAACAGACAAGAACACAATGTTTTGCTTATACTTCTCTAATTTTGACTTGCCACGTATAATTAAAAACCTGAAACTGACCATTCCCCCAAAGGCCAAGGATATTTGACTGGCACCAATCCCTCGAACAAACCTACGGTTGATGGAGCCTAGTTAGCAGTAAACAGACATCTGAATGACGAGGGTGGATGAAAACTCACCCCCTCCCGCCTACGCACTTACATTTTATGGGGTGACTGACAGGTCGCCTAAACACAGTTGAGCTGCCACCATGACTGCCTGTGTCTGTCTACCCAGTGGACCGGAAACATTGGTTAAATTTAGAAGTAAGCAGATAGTCTATATGAATGCGCATAAAAAAGGTAGTCAGTAGTAGCACCATCCTTTCGACTGTCACTCGATTTTGGTAAAATATCGTGACTAAGTGAATGCCTAGTCCGTTGAAAGGAGTATTGACGAAGAAAAGAACGAATAGAAAGGTTGTTAATGACTTGCAAAGCATCATCAGATAGTTATAGCTACTTCCAGATGAGACTTATCCGGGTTTCGAGCCCGGATTCTATGGTCTATAAGCGGTTTTCAAGTCCAACTCTGCAGCATTGGTCCTGCTGGTTGTCATTGGGCATATTAGCAGCGTTGAAAGGGCGACAACGGACCCTGTTATGAGACCATTTCGTCGCGCACTGGGGCTTATGGCAGTAGCTTAATTTGGTGGGAAAGACCCTCGTAAAAGCGTTCTTCAGGCATGGTTCCGTTTTTGAGGAGAAGAAGTCGAAGTGGAATGTTCTGTACAGAGACCGTGAAGAACAGATTGGAGGAAGATGACAGTCGGAAAAGTGTGCGCCCACAGCCGCTAGAGGGCCGGCGTCCGAAGTTTGAGAACGCGCCAGTCATTACAACATCTAAAGCATGGTAACGTGAAAGTCAGCGTCAGAGAAATCATTAGCCAGACTAGATTAAGGGCGACAGACACTGGTGCGTACGTGCTAGCATCCGCGAGAGGTTTAACGTTGCACTCGGAGTAGGGCCACTGCAGGCTTACATATGGAGCCTCGTACGGACCAGTACCATATACAGGAAGGAGAACCTACAAAAAGAGGGAGACTATGACGGTGTTGTGACTAGCTCGTGTCGAAGTGAACTTTCCCGATGGCTCACAGACACAAGTCTCTACGCTCGGATCAGCCAATCACAGTTACCGCACAGATGCTTATTTGGCCGGCGACGAATAGCATGCCTGCACGCGTCCCGACGCAATCTATCTGTCTTGCCAAAAACCTTCAAGGCCGGCCCAGCCAATGAACGCTCTCTCTCTGTTCACTGGTCTGGCTGCTGTCAAACCAGGGCTTGGACTTTCCCGGCCTCCTAACTGGTCGTATGCTCTCCAAGTCGAATTTATTTCCATCTATTCTCCGTTCCTCTTTGTACGCAATATACTGTTCCCACTACTCTGGCCTCTACTGACTTCTTCTCTACTAAGTAACCATTGTCTGAAGATCGCAGTTGCCAGGAATTAACTTGCTAAACCCCCTGCGATAACGGCACTCTTGGCTTATTAATCGGCACTAACCAACCATAACTACTGTAAGCTCTGGGGCTTGAACTTGCTGTGCGGCCGCTGTTGCGAGGTTTTAAGCCAATCTCCAACGCACAAGGGGATGAGGATACGCCATAACACACCTGACAGGACCACGGACCCGTGACTGAAGCGTTAGGGTATTGTATTTATAACAAACAGGTTGCGGGTTCGAGCATCAGGGGTTGAAACACCTGGGGTAGAGAATGGGTGGCTGATGACCGCTAATAATCCAGAAATGTCAATGCAAGCTAACATGCGTGTCCCAAAAATTAACTGATAAGAAGGGTATTCGATCGCTGGGAAAACATTTGTGTTCGCCTGACGTTTCGACATCCGTCGCGAGTTCTTTATCAGAGACATCAGAAGAAAAGAGTAGCAGAAGTGGGTGATACATGCGCAGGAATTTGCAGTATTTATAGGTAACAGTCAATGCTGTACATTTATATCAAGGATACTTGATGAGAATTGCCCTCTTGTGCGTTACACCAGAGTAAGTAAAAAGTAAACAATTTTACCGAGACTTCTAAGGCACATATCCAGTCGATTGCCTATCTCGTGAGGTTTCATGAGATGGACAAAAAGCTCCCGTTTCGCGAAATAAGCCCATGCTGCGCCCTTCCAAGTCTTATGTCGTGACTAGTTCGCGTCGAAGTGAACTTTGTCTGAGCTCACAGTCGC